ACTTGGAGGCCAATCGGGTGGGATCCAGGTCCTGATGCCTCTCTCCAGCTTGTTACCAGACCCCTCGGGCAGGGGTCTGCGGGGTTTCTAGGCCTGCAGGGTACACAGCCCACAGCGCAGAACACTGTGCTCACCCAAACCACCTGCCTGTCCCATGTTCCCCAGCCTGCACCAACCACAACCAAAGGTCTGGGTCGGGCGAGGGCCCCGAGGTAGAGGAAGCCACCTCCCAGGTTTCCCTAAGCCCCTTCCTGGACGCCCAGGGCTGTGAGGACTCCCACCCCCACCTACTCCATTCCAGTCAGGCTAGGGTAGGAGGGGTGGAATGGATCCGGCGGGGGGACAGGTCCCAAATGGGACTAAGGAGAGGATGGCCCAGTCCTGGGCAGAGGGGCCGCCTTGAAGGAGGATAGGAAGCCACATGCACATGATGAGGGGTACGGGCGAACTGCTGGCACTCTCTGAAGCCTCGTGCTAGGAAAGAACTTGGAGGCCAATCGGGTGGGATCCAGGTCCTGATGCCTCTCTCCAGCTTGTTACCAGACCCCTCGGGCAGGGGTCTGCGGGGTTTCTAGGCCTGCAGGGTACACAGCCCACAGCGCAGAACACTGTGCTCACCCAAACCACCTGCCTGTCCCCTGGACCCCAGCCTGCACCAACCACAACCAAAGGTCTGGGTCAGGCGAGGGCCCGAGGCAGAGGAAGCCACCTCCCAGGTTTCCCCAAGCCCCTTCCCGGACGCCCAGGGCTGTGAGGACGCCCACCCCCACCTACTCCATTCCAGTCAGGCTAGGGTAGGAGGGGTGGAGAAGGGGTCCCCGGCCCCTTCTCCTCCACTGGGCGGAACAGGAAGAGGGTGATTGAATCAGCACTTCTCACCCCTTCTGGAACTTTCCAACATGGAAAACCCACTAAGCAGCTGGGGAAGCAATTTAGGGACTTTAATTAAAGGCTGATGAATCTCCCACAGAGCCCCACCCCCACACACAGCTGGGGGGACCCACCACATCTGCCCTCAGTGTGTTCCGAGGTCCAGGCACTGGAGCTGGCGGTTAGGCCCAGTTTCCGCTGAGAGGGGGGTGAGCAGAACAAGCCAGTTTATTCTTTCTACTCGTGGCTTCCAGAGTCTGCCTTCCGAGCTCGGCCTGGGCCCCAAAGTCAGACAAACCAGTGGTTCCACAGCTCTGCGCCCAAGAAGCTTCAGGAAGGGAAAGGTGGGTTGCATGGGCAGGCTCAGGAAAGGGACTCCACGTGTAGGGAGGAAATAAGCCCAGAGAACTCAGCTGCCCTGTGTGCACCTCCTGACAGGGGCAGAAGCTGAGGGGTGAGAATAGCACACAGGTGTTGGGGGTGGGGGGTACTTCAGCGGGCTTGATAGGTGCAATCAGGAATCTGGTCTTCATTCTAAAAGCAACAGGGCTGGGGGAGAAGATTGGAGTGTTTTAAAATAATGGGCTCTGGCTCGCTCTGAAGGCACCCCTCTGACCACCATGCATGCAGACTACTCATTGTAGGAGAAAAAAGAGGTGCCAGGGGAACAGTGAGGGACCCATGAAGCCATCCAGGCATGAGACGTCAGACATTTGGACAAGGGTGTGTCCAGGGAAAAGAAAGATGCATGGATCAGGCTGGGAACTGGGGCAGGGCCAGGGCTACCCTGCTTCCCTCCTGCCCCTGCCAACCAGGGCAGGCTGCCATGCCATCTGTAAGTGGGGCCCCAGCATAGGGAATGGGGACAGAGCTGCCAGGCACAAGTGCTCGCCACCCAGCAGGGATTCCAAAACACAGCACCCTCGTTATTGTAAACAGGTCCAAGTTGGGGAGGAGGCTATGTGTACATCTCACCCCCATCTGCCCCGATCTGTGCCACAGTTCCACCAAGGTGACTTGGGCCCAGCCCCCAGCCCTGCTCCTGGCTTGCTCGGGATGGTTGGCCTAGAAGACAGTACTGGTCCCTCAAGGCAGCGCCAGACTGGAGTGTCCTCTGGGTCTAGAACTAGCAGGGCAAGGGACAGGTCTCCTGGCTGCTGGAGACAGATGTCCCCATCTCCCTCCCCACCTTCTGCTGAGGCTCTTCTCATACATCAACTGAACTCAAGTCCACACCATGGGTGGGTCATGTGACAAAGGCAGTGGCCATGGTGATTGGTGGGGCCACTAGCCAAAGAGGAGAGTGGTGACTGACAAGCCGCTACTCCCCTCAAAATCCTCCCTCATCCTGACCCTGGGGCCCAGGACAGGGTGTGGCTCAAGTAGCCCAGGGTGGAAAGACCACTTCAGAGTCAAGGATATGATATGGCCCTAGCCTGTTTGGCTCAGTGGATAGAGCATTGACCTGTGGACTAAAGGGTCCTGGGTTCAGTTCCCATCAAGGGCATGTACCTCGGTTGTAGGCTCAATCACTGGCCCTAATCGGGGCTTGTGTGGGAGGCGACCAATCGATGTCTCTCTCTCTCACATCGATGTTTCTCTCTGTCTCTTCCCCTCCCTTCCACTCTCTCTAAAAATCAATGGAAAAATATCCTCAGATGAGGATTAACAACAACAAAAAAGATAATAAATAAATAAAGTTGATTTTTTTTCCCAAAAAAAAAGGATATGATATGGACCCAAGGCCTGGGATGCAGAGGCCACTGCCAGATCCTACAAGGGCCCGGGCATCCTGGGTGCCAAGCCTGGGCCTAAAGAGTCCTGGAGGGTTATCAGTGCAACTGGTGGCTACCTGGTAGACAGCACTGTGGCCAGGAGCAGTTAACTGTCATTACTGAGGGGCCTGGCATTCCCAGGGGTAGAGAGGTAGACAGGGCACCCCAGCCTGCCTCAGTCTGGCCTGACAAGGTTAGGAGCTGAGTAGGCAGCTGGGCTGCAGATGAGCCTTTATTCCTGCCCATCCCCACCCTCCAGGAAGCTGGGTAAACACAACAGAACTGGGACAATGAGGGCCTGGGGCCTGTGGTATGGGCAGGGTCTGGTGAATGGGACCTGTGACTTGCCCGTGGTAGGCAGGGCAGAGCTGGGTGAGGACCTGATAGGAGGCTGTTAGACACAGGAGTCACCTCACGCTCACTGTGCAGCAACCCCACAAGGTTTCCGGGAGGGAACGTCCACTGGGCAGCAGGATGCCAAATTAGCTCAAGTCATGGGTGCAGCCCAAAGAGTTGGGCAGACCCAGCTTTACTCCTGCCCCACCTCTCAAATGGGTAACCTGGGACCTCAGTTTCCTCATCGGGAACATGGGACAACCCAGCTTGGTGTCTCAGGGCTGAGAAGAGAGCTCTAGGATGGCCTTCAGAGTCACCAAAGCTATGCTGAGTGTCGCTGCGCAGGCCCTAAATCTCTCTGAGCCTCAGTTGCTCATCTGTGACATGTGGCCAAGCATACCTCAAGGGGTGTATAAGTATCAAGGTTAGACCTCTTCTGGCACTCTCACAATGCCCGCTAGCTCGAGTTAGCTGGTGTGATTATCATTTCCCTGGGCAGCGGCACCTCCAGCCCCCACCCTCCAACCCTCAAGGTCACATGGAAGAACACAGTTCCAAACTTTATTTCTTAAATAGTTCTCTCTACCCAGCATGTGCACACAGCCTGCTTTGGCTGGGTGACAGGCATAAATTAAGGTTACTGAGTATCCCCAGACAGGGCGTGGACTGGCCTGGCCTCTCAGTCCCAGCCAAAGTCCTGGCCGATCATCTGGTAGAACTTGCGGTTGAAGGGCTGGTAGAAGTCCCGCAGACGCTGGACCACTGCCTCGGGCACCCGGGGGTGGGGCCGGCCCTTGGACTTGCCCAGGCAGCGGGGGCGGCTGCTCCCCTGGGCCTTCTTGAGGCAGGGGAAGCCCTTGGTGGCATTGAAGTAGAAGTGCTTGTCCGTGACGACCCTTTTGAGGCCCAGGAAGTCCTGCACTCGGCCAACTTCTCCAGCCGGGTCACTGACCAGGCGCTCGCCGCTGACAAACAGGAAGTGGGACAGAGGGAAGTATCGAAGCCAGTTGTCCAGGTGCTGGGCGTAGAGGCCGATGCGCACAGCACTCCAGGCCGTGTCCACGGGGCCCAGGCCGTGGCGGAAGGCCAGGGCTCGGAAGCTGGGCAGGCCCGGGGTCTTGGAGAGCGTCTGGGCGTAATCGGAGATGGCCCGGGTCACGGGGTTGCGAACCACCACGATCAGCTTCGTGTCCGGGGACATGCTGTGGATTCGGCGAGGGGCCTCGAGAGTCACGAAGTAGCTGGGAGTCTTCTCTATGGTGATCTGCCCGTCCAGGGTGCGTGGCATCAGGCTCCTGCAGGTTGTGTGGAAGGAGAGGTGGGCATGAGAGGGTGCTGGTCCCCTCAAGCCCTCCATTATAGACCAGCCCCAGGGACCCCAGATTCACTTCCCGCTCCCCCAGGCCCACCCATCCTAAAGTGCCAGATGGGCAGCCTGGGAGGTGGGTTGAGAGCACCCACCCCAGCACAAGCCAACAGGGCAACAGGGGGGAGGGGGGCTGTCCTGCCAGGCTGCCCACTCTAGCTAGCTTGCCCCAACCCTGACATTGCTGTGCCTCTCACCCCTGACCAAGCACCAGTAGGGCCAGTGGCCCGGACTTGCCATCCCCAGGGCTCTGCCCACCCTCCCCACCTCACAGGCCCCTCCCTGCACTGTAATTACCCCAGGTCACACTTTGGTTAAATGGCTGAAGTTGTCCCCTAAGTTAGGCCATTAATTATTGACAAGTGTCCCAACAAAGGACAGCTGCTCTTTTCATTCCCCTCCCCTGCAGAGCCCCCTGCCCCTCTGATTACAGCCCTGCTAGTTCTCATTGACCTGGGCCCAACTCAAATGCTGCAAGCCACCACACAGCCCAGCACATTGGGGAACAGTGAGTGAGGTGGCCTGAGGACCCATCCCAAGAGCTGGGCAGTCAGGGCCTCCCAGACCTGGCTCGGACCCCAGGGTGCAAGGCTGTGACTGCAGCATTTCTGATGATTCCTCTCATTCTGGCTGGGGGAGTGGGGCACTGACCAAGGTTCCGGGAGAGTTGGCTGATGACAGCCCCCTGACTGCCCCAAACTTGGGGAAGCCCCTCCAAGCACCCCACTGGGCAGGCAGGTACCCTGAGTGAGCAGTTTCCCAAGGCCAAGCCTCACCTGCCAGCCAGGTACCGCAGGGAGAGGCAGGCAGGGTGTGGCAGGGCCAGCTGAGCAAACAGTTCCAAGGGAGGACCTGAGGGCTGGAAACTAGGTCGATGGAGGCAGAGCCTGTGGGACCTGTGCCTTCAGAGGGGGCAGTCTGTGCCCAAGGCCTACCCTGCCTCCAGTCCTCTGAGGGGACTGTCCCTGCCCCCACTGGCGGCCTCCTGGTCTGGCCCCAGCCAGGAGGGGATACACAGGGCAAGTTCAGGTTTCATCCAGCCTGCACCCAGCCTAAGAGACCCCCAGGCAGGGCCCCAGCTTCCTCTTCCTCCTTAGCCCCAATGAAACTCCAGCTGGCTGAACACACAGGTGTGCAGACCCACATGCTGGGGTGCTTGGGGTGAATCCCAGGCATACCAGTGGCTCCCCTGCCACCACCCACAGCCTCGGGGGAGATGGGTGGGTTGATGGTCTTCAGGCTCTGGGAGCTTCCCTCACCCCCCCAAATAAGGCCCTGGGCAGAGCTGGTCTACAGAAGTCACAGGAAAGGGAGGGATGACAATTCTGCTTCCCCATCATGGTGACAAAGGGCCGCTTAGAGCGTGCTTGGGGTGAATCCCAGGCGTACCAGTGGCTCCCCTGCCACCACCCACAGCCTCGGGGGAGATGGGTGGGTTGACGGTCTTCAGGCTCTGGGAGCTTCCCTCACCCCCCAAAACAAGGCCCTAGGCCAGCCGTGGGCATACCCGTTTGAAATGAAAATAAAACTAAAAAAAAAAAGACCGTACCCTTTTATGTAATGATGTTTACTTTGAATTTATATTAGTTCACACAAACACTCCATCCATGCTTTTGTTCCGGCCCTCCAGTCCAGTTTAAGAACCCATTGTGGCCCTCGAGTCAAAAAGTTTGCCCATCCCTGGTCTAGGCAGAGCTGGTCTACAGAAGTCACAGGAAAGGGAGGGATGACAATTCTGCTTCCCCATCATGGTGACAAAGCAAGCTGGAAATCGCCCTCCAACCCACTCACTGCCCCATGTGATAGGCAGGCACACTGGCGCTCAGAGAGGGGGTGGAAAGCTTGGGGGGCGGGGGTGGACACCGACCACAGCACTCCCACCCCTGGGCTGCAGCAGCTGGAAGGGGCAGTGTCAGCTTGGCCTCTGCTCCCAGAGGCCCTGCCCCCATGCCCTGCCTTGTGCCCTGGGAATACAGGCTCCCAGCCCTCCTGGGATAAGTTCAGTGAGACCTCAGATGTTAACAAGGACTGAGGCCAGGACTGCAGCCTGGAGTAGCCAGCTCAGGGGGTTCCCTTTTCCCCAAGAGGGAATCAGAAGACGGGGAGTCTCCCCCACTGGACCTCACTGCTGAGACCCATGAAGAGAAGCCTGGGCTGGGACAGACGGACGGCCAGGTGGATCAGAAGTCACTGCCCTCCCTCATGGCCTACTCAGGGAAGGAGCCAGCCCTGGTTACTCCTGGGCCCTCCCCTCCCATCTTGGACACCCCCTTCCCATCCCTTTCTGCCCCCAGGCACCAAGTGGCCCCAGAAGCACATCCTCTTTCCCCAACCAAACTGGGCACTTTGGGTTCGGAACACCCCCACCCCACCCTCCTGCCTGAGGGAAGGGAGCTGCAAGGAAGGACACCAGGGAAGCCAGAGGAGCAGAGGGGGAGGTGCTTCCGGAACCCTGTGGAAGGGGGATGGGAATGGGGATGGACTGCAGATTTTCCAGGCCCGCTCCTGCCACAAACCAGCTTTGAGATCTGAGATCTTTGGGAACAATTACTAGTACTTATTATCCTCACCCGCCCTCAGACGCCCGTCCTGGCCAGGACATGGAGGAGGGTGGGGATGGAGGTTTGGAGGGGGGGGGCTGCAGACAGGGGAGGGGATGAGAGGAACG